AGAAAAACTTTTCCTTTTCGTTACTTCCGATGACATGCCTTTTTTTTTTCCTGCTGATTTAGCACTAGGTTTTCTCTTTCCTAATGATTTAGTACTAGGTTGCGTTAGGTAGGTGTGGGTGAAGCATTAGATCATGATTTGTTTCTTCTTCAATCTGCATCGTATCCTTTCTTTTCCTCAATGTTATAGGCAGTTTAGGAGTTATTCCTTGTGACTGCGGAGTAGGTAGTAATGTAACGCTAGATGTTAAAGTTCTTATTTGATTTGGCGATGTTGATGGCATGACTAATTTTTCTACATCTAATTCAGATGTTAGTATATGAATTAGCAGTGTGGACGAACTACCATGTTCTAAAATTCGAGTCTGATGTATGGATTGTAAATATGTTCTGGGGTTTTTTTCTTTAGCATGCGACGAGACCGACTCGTCAGATAGTCCACGATAATATCTACAAAATATTTATGATGTCAAGCTCTGTGATTCTTCAAGGTCAGAGCCCCCATCAAAAAAAAGCTATAAGTAGTCTCAATGATCCTTTCGCGTATTTAGACTATAGCTGACTTGCTTAAGAAAAACTAATTAAAGTTTTAATTATTAATCAAGAGTTTATGTAAAAATTTAATATAAAAGCATAATGTAAAAAGCGGAAAAGAGAAGAATATAGACCAAGTATACACGCCTTTAAGTAGCAAAAGGAGACTTACCATAGCGTTACGCGGGTGTCGGTCCGGGAAACGACTGACTCGCCGATAAACTCTAACAATATATATTTTTGTTTAGAATTAAGCTTTCGATATAAAAGACTAATTATTGTTGTGGGGTAAGCAAAGACACAGATGCGCGACGCGATCTCGTATTACATAATTACGGCGCCGTGGAAAAACATAGTGAATTACGTAAATAGCACAAGGCGAAGAAAGGTAAGCAAGCTAATAATATAAAAAGGGTAGAGACAGTTGTATTAGCATTGCGTTTAATAAAGTTGATAAGGTTTAAAACCTTGAACTACAGTATTACCTCGTTTCACGTGTACCATATACTTGTAACTTCAACTAGTGCGACTGATAAGCTTAGCCAAATATCGGGATTATAGCAGAAGAATAAGGGTTTCTGGAAGGTCGTCGGGAGAAAGAAAGTTAGCAAGTATTCAAATCAGCCAAATCGAAACCACCTCAAGAGTTAAAGCCTAAAACTACTTACCTTTATCGTACGTAACGCGAATTATCCCGGGTTAGCGACAGACTCGCCGGTTACAACGACATTATTAGGCATAATAATGTTTGAAATAATTAATTATTTAAATTTATACGTCATGTATAACGGCATCTAGGTTCAATGCCAAGGTTTTTGTATAATAAAGTCAGTAATAAAAATTTACAAGTAACGATGAATAATTAATAATTCACTTTTTTTTTAACTGTATAAATAATAATTTTTATTTGAATATAAATAACAAATAAACAAATAAGATATCTAAAATTTGTAGAGAAAAAAAAAGAAATTGCTAAAAAAAAAAATCTAAAAATAATAGTTATCTATTCAATCGTTTATTAGCTTTTTTCTCCCATTCTGTATTTGTAAATTCTGATTGTGAGAGGAGTTTCTTTGTATTTTCATTAGTTATTCTTTTTTTCGCTTCTTTTTTGATTTCATTATTTAATTCTCCTATATTTGTTAAATTAATTATTACTATATAAACAACTTCCAAAATTTGTAAAAAAGAACTGAAAAATCCATTCCCTTTAGCATGAATTTGTTTTCTAAACCAATTATCGAACATTGCTACCAATTTTTTCTTCAATAGATTATCTTCCTTAAGAATTAATTCCTTCTTTTTATTACATTCTTCCCACTGTTTTTTAAGATCATTTCTTCTTCTCAATATAGTAGTTAGGCTATCCTCACTTTCGTTAAGTCTCAAAACCTCAACTCGATTTTTACCGTTAGATTTTGCGAGAGTTAAGCCTTTGCTTGCTGAATAATACAAATCATTAAAAGTTTGTTCATTTGCCGACGAGGAAAATCCAATGCTGACCGTATGTTTTTCTTCGCGAAATTCGAAAAATTTCTCAACATAAGCACGAAGGGTTTTGGCAAATTTTAGTCCATCTATATTTTCGGCATTAATAACAATAATAAACTCATCTCCACCGTATCGTGCGGGAATAATATCGCGTTTAGGATCCAAGTTTTTTAAACGAAAATATTTCGTAAGAAATACCTCCATTATAGTACGGAGCTTATTTAAAGCATCATCTCCTCCTGATTGGCCATGCGCGGTATTAATTTTTTTTAAATCATCTACATCAATAAGTAGAAAATTCCATATACTATCTTGTAATTTTTTATTGATTTTGACTGCGAGATCTTTTTTAGATGAGCCCTTGGTATAATCTTCTATTTTTATTTTTGATTCCATATTTTCTGTAATTAACCCATTTTAAAGACGACTACTGTATTTATAGAGGAAATTTAGTATGCAGGTTATACCTGTAAATATTTGATTTTACTATGTAATTCAATATGCGGCAGGGCGTATTATTATACCTCCTTTCTTTGGCAGAGTGCATAATGTTCGTAGCTCGCATACCAGATGGGTAATTATTTTTGAAGGCAGCAAAAATGTTATATATGATTTTTTCGGTCTCTACTTTTAAACAATACATACACAATATAAATTTTAGGATCACAATTATAGTGACTGAAAAATCCCTGTCCGCCTTCGAAAAGAATTA